TAGCATGGCGGTTTATGTTGTATGAAGGTCTAGGTACTTCTTGTAGAAATTTATTGCTTTACCAGGTAAATTTCTGTGTCTCGGAAACTGAATGTACTCCTAAATGTTGATGTAGGGAGTTTGTGGTTCTTGTTGGGCGTTTAGCACAACCGGAGCAGTTGAAGGGGCCCATTTCATTGCAACAGGCAAACTTCTAAACCTCAGTGAGCAGCAGCTTGTCGACTGTGATCACACGGTTTGATTTCTTTCATCGCATTCTTTGTTATCTACTAAGATTTAACATTTCATAATCTTGTATTCAAATGATACTTGTTGATATTATTTTCCCATGTACATATTGAAGTGTGATGCAGTGGCTAAGGAGGATTGTAACAATGGTTGTGGTGGCGGTCTAATGACCAATGCATACAATTACTTGATGAAATCTGGAGGTTTAGAAGAGGAGAAGACATACCCTTATACTGGAAAACAAGGGGAATGCAAGTTTGACAAAGATAAAATCGCAGTTAGAGTGGCCAACTTCACAAAGATACCTTTTGATGAGAAGCAGATCGCAGCAAATCTAGTCATGCGTGGCCCTCTTGCGAGTATGCATTTTTTTATCCTTAAAGCGAGAAGGAGAAACTACCGTAATTTAAAATAAAGTCTTCATCTGAAAATAAAGTTCAATAGAAAATCCCTTAATTTACGTTGATTTCTGCAGTTGTCAATTTCACATCGGAGTTTTACTCATCTGAGCAGGCATTGCACTTAGGATAGAGATAGATGTCTGACTTAAAGAGACGACGCTGAATCTACAAATTTATATGTGGTAATTAAAAAAGAAACACAATGGATAGAAGTCAGTTCTTGGATAAAAATTAGCAATAAGGACACGTAGACGTCTGATGAACCAAACTCCATTTCATAACAGATGAGTTCGTTTCTTGTCGATTTTCTTAGATGAATGAGCTCTTTTTTTTCTTTCTTTTTTTTCTGAAAAACATGGAATATATGTAGTAGTTTCTTGTAATCTGAACGGATATTATCCCTGTAGCGCACTTACGTAATGGTAAGACATTCTTTGATGCATTGTCTATACAGTAGATATAAACTGGAGATATATACTTTCTCCTTTAAATCTAAAATCGATACTGCTTGCTACTCATTCTCTTCCTTCTGTGAATTTATTTTTGCAGTGGGATTGAATGCAGCGTTCATGCAAACATACATTGGGGGTGTATCCTGCCCTCTAATATGCCCAAAGATATTCATCAACCATGGCGTGTTACTCGTCGGGTACGGAGCAAAAGGGTTTTCAATTCTGAGGCTCGGGTATCAACCATATTGGATTGTTAAGAACTCATGGGGAAAGCACTGGGGAGAGGACGGTTATTATAAGCTTTGCAGGGGACATAAAATGTGTGGGATGAACACTATGGTTTCTGCTGTATCCACCACTTGGGAAGGCTAAGGAAAAGAAATCAGAAAGAGATTCATGGTAAGTAAACATAAGCTATAGCTAGTAGCTACCGTTGGAACTTTGAAGTAGATCTTGTGTATGTGAAACAGTATCGTGTTATTGCTCGGATACATTTGCTAAGTTGCGCATTGGTTGCGTTGTTGAATATGTGATGATCTGTAGGTTGCTCGGACACGTTCTAAGTTGCGCATTGGTTGCGCTGTCGAATAGTGATGATCTGTTTGTTGTTTTTCAATTTTAACAATTCAAAGAAAACGCCAGAATATGTGATGGTCTGTTGGTTGTGTTTCTTCTAACAATTCAAAGAAAGAGGGACAAAAATGAACGCCGGGAAAGAAACATCAAGGTGCAAGAGGAAACAGCAAAAAAACAGCCCCAAGAAGCAAGTTTAAAGATACAGTCACAAAGAACCTGTATACAAACTTAGACAAGCAATGAAGACGGCAGAAAATTGAGCTCAAGTAGATGTGAAGTTGGTTTTAATGATAATATCATCCTTAAAGCCTTATAGGGTATGCTGTTAGTTAAAATAAACTAAAAAATATAGAAATGAAGAAAGAATAACTTCTCATACAAACTTAGACAAGCAATGAAGACGGCAGAAAATTGAGCTTAAGTAGATATGAAGTTGGTTTTAATGATAATATCATCCTTAAAGCCTTATAGGGTATGCTGTTAGTGAAAATAAACTAAAGATATAGAAATGAAGAAAGAATAACTTCTCCTTTGCATACAATCTTTCAAATAGCACGCGAGATTTCCCAGTAATCTCAACGGAAAGTTAGCATGCTGCGTACATTGGTAATTCAATGTGTGGTACAACTGTATAACTATATCGATGAACTTGGTAATTCTCCTCTCTGAATTTCTCAGCTGATAATTAACCCAGGAAGGATTACGAAATGCAACCGTGCATTCATAGAGTTTCACCTTTGCAAGGGATGTCGGTGCATCGGCAAACAGGTCTACCAGAGGCATGCCACCCGTTGAAACCGTGGTCCAATACCATAATCTTGTTGATCCCTGCATCGCCTTTTATTTCTGATAGGTAATTTGCAAACGTCCGTGCACAAGTTGGACCCCTTACCTGGAGAAGAACAGGAGATTCATAAGCCAAAGAATTTAAGTATCTGTCATGATTATTTTTAACCAAGGAGAGATTACTGATTAGTTAAAAAAAAAGGAATTCAGAAAGAGGAATTCAAAAGTAAACTTCTTTCTTGCTTGTGCATTATTCCGACTATAAAGGATATCAAGAAGAAATTCGCTAGAAAATAACACAAGCTGGGGAAGATTGGGAAACCTTGATCTTGCAGTATTGCAAATGAGAACCATCTTTAGCCAATTTCAGAAGAATTAATATGAGTTTAGGTAATGATACTAACTTAAAATGCTGAAACATATAAGAAACTGCACAGTTAGTTGATTAATGAGTGAGAAGGGAAGATAACAAGAAAAGAAATAATTTGTGAACTTTTGGGTCAAGTGATAGGAAGGAGATGAAAATAAGGGTTTACAAAATTTAGCATATATTTTTTCAAATGCTATATTCAGAAGAACAATAACAATAGTTAGATCAGACGTGGTAGAATTTTAGCTTATCTTCTTCTGCAGGGGAGACAACCATACACAGTCATCCAATTCATTTCATAAAAATAAGAAATGTTCCCATTTCTAGAGGGACCTCCCTCCTCTAATCTGGAGAACAATAAGTGGAGAGGGAAGTAAAGCTGCAATGTAGCGAGAGTGAAAAGTAGTGATTATATAGATGATACGATTAATCAGGAAACCTATCCTGAATCTAGTTTACAGAATCTAATTGTCTCGTTTGCAGAGTGTGTCAGTGAATTGCTCTTGGCATCTGCAGATTCGTGAAACTGCATTCCAACTTAACAAAACATCAGGAGATTCATGAAGTTTCATTCATGAAGAGGGCATGGGGAAAAAAGAACTTACGTATGATAACACTATGAGGGACGCCATATATTTTGTTGACACCCATACTACCCTAATTGCCCCGCCCTCCCCGCAAACACGCCAAGTCATATATATGATATATATATATATATATATATATATATATATTATAATATATATATATATTATATATATATAGAGAGAGAGAGAAGGAAGAGAGAGGAGTATTAAATGGGATATCCTTGTGCATAGGAGGATTTGCCTGCCTATAACCCTCTAAAATCACATGATTGAGCGGAGTCATTGGTGGATGATCCGGCTCCGTTGAAGCTTGATCTACATAGTTGCTAAACCAGCCCACCCCAAGTTTGGGTGAACGCCGTCGTCGTTTGACCGCCTTCATCCCCACTCGTATCAATTTTAAACGGTTTTGAATGGAATAGAACTTTCACATGACTCGATGGAGGGTCAAACGATCGACGGATTCAGCCCAAACTTGGGTGTGTTGGGGTTTTAGAATATGTAGATCAAGTTCATACAGAGTGGGTTCTCCATAATGTCGGCTATCCATGTGATTTTAGAGGCGGTCCAAGGAGGGAATCCCCTGCCTATGACAAGATGCCCCATTAACCCTCATATTATATATATATATATATATATATATATATATATATATATACTATATATATATATAATATTATATATATATATAATTACTATATATATATATATATATATGAAGGAAATGGAGAGCACTGCCAACTGCTTCTCCCGTGTGCTGCATCAGCAGCTGCTTCCTGGTTGATTCATCCTCCAGGCGGGTTGATTTGAACAAAAGTCATGCCATTTTACAATGAGCCCCTCGGTCCCCCCTCTAAGACCCTTCAAATCAACCCCCGTGACCCCAAAACGAAGGCTACCCAAAATCTTGATCTCTCTCTCCCCCCTCCAAGATCCTTCCTCCTCCGCGAGCCAACTCCGGTGCTGCAGGTAAAATCTCGATCTCTCTTTCGATACCCCTCAAATACAACCGAAGCCCTTCCCTCTGTCTCCCCTCGCATTCGTTATGCTGCTCTAATCGTTAAAGTTCATCCCTCCTCTAACCCACCCCTCTCTCTAAGTGTATTATGCCTAATTAATAAGTTATCATTTCAAATTCATTCAAATTAAACTATTTCAATTAATTATTGAACTATACACTATAGTTAATTGCTAATTTGTCTCTTCATGTGTTCTTATCTCTATTATATTAAGGTTGAAGTTTGATTATTCAACGAGGAGAGAGAAAAGCACAAAATCCCCATGTCGCACAACTTCATGAAAATTTTTAGGATTTTGATCTCGCACTTGACGTGATGACTTCCCTCTTTTATTACCTTTATATAGATCCTTTGTTTGATCTCCATTTTTCTATTTTTTTCCCTTCAGTTGATAACTGTTTTTTTTCCTTTAGTTGATAACTGAAGGATCTGGAAAAGATTTGCTGGTATTCTTACTCATTGAATTATTTTTTCTTAAGTTTCATTTTCTTACCAATTTTTTAGCATTTTGAGCTGTCTATATGTTCAAATCCTGGCTCATCATTGAAGCATGAATGTTGCATAGAACAATTTTATTGAGTAACATGACTGCAACACTAATTTAGTAATTTCATACTTTACATTATTTTGTTAATGTTAATCACTTATTTTTAGTTTACATCGAGCTCATTTATATGCTTTCTAGGTTGATTATAAACAAAGGCGTATACATTAATTCTTACTAATATATCCCATGATTAAGAATGGTGTGATGATATTTAACATCCACAAGTATATGTGTCTCTCCAGAATGTGGTACTTTTTATTTATGCGATTAGTGTTTTTCTTTATGCCAAATGGGAGTTAAATGTGATTAGTCTTATTAATTTCAGTTTCCCTCTTTCCTACAGAACAAGCATAGGAATGGGAGAGTTCGAAATGAGGAAAACTTATTAATTTCAGTTTCCCTCTTTCCTACAGAACAAGCATAGGAATGGGAGAGTTCGAAATGAGGAAAATAAATTCAACTAGTGTAGAGTTCGAAATACAGAACAAGCATAGGAATGGGAGAGTTCGAAATGAGGAAAATAAATTCAACTAGTGTAGAGTTCGAAATGGGAGAATAATGTGCTATTGAAAGTGAAATTGCGGCCAATACTGAAAATGCTCCTAAACCACTACTAGGAATGAAGTTTAATACTTATGAAGAAACTTATAACTATTAGAATTCTTATGCATTATTGATGAGTTTTGGAATAAGGAAGAGCATGGTAAATTACTCTCGCAAGACTAGAGACGTGCTAGACAGAAAGTTTGTTTGTGATAAGGAGGGTCATAGATCTAATAAAAGACAAGATAAAGATCCCTTTTAAGCAAGAGACCCGAGTGAGATGTAAGATAATGATGCAAGTTAAATTATTAAAGGACAAATCGTGGGAGGTCATGAGGTTTGTTGAAGAACATATAAATCATGTGTTGAGTAGTCCAGACAAAGCAAAAATGCACATATCACATCAATAATTCCATAAAACTCAAAGATGTAAAAAACTTATTGAGAACCTGCAAGAAGGTATGTCTCCTTCCACTAGTTCTCGCGTCATTAATGCAACTTATGGAAGAGAAGGTGAATTAGTGACACCACAACAGTGCATTGATCATATCAGAACCCAAAGACACAACAATATTGGCCATGAATGCATATCTATCATTCGACATTAGCAGAGTAAGACAACGAATGATCCAGAATTTTATTTTGCAATAGAAGTAGATAGTAGTGGATAAATGAGGAGTGTTTTCTGTGCTGATAGAAAATCAAGAGCATCTTATTTGCAATTTAGTAATGTTGTTGTGTTTGACGTGACATACAGAACTAATAAGTTCAGTCTTCCATTTGCTTCATTTACTGGTGTGAATCACCATAGACAGTCCATTTTACTTGGTTGTGCATTATTAGCCGATGAATAGGAAGATACATTTTTGTGGTTATTTTAAGAATGATTGAAATGCATGCATGGGGTTAAACCATGTGCTACTATAACAGATCAGGATAGAGCAATGTGTAATGCTATTCACTCACTGTTTCCAACGATAAGACACATTATTGCTATTGACACATGCAAAAGCACATTATTGATTATTTGCCTACTTTGGGATCGTTATGGTGAACAATTTCAAAGGTATTAGGGCTTATGGTATATAGTTCTTTAATTGAACAGTGTGAATGATATTAACTTGAGATGAAGGAGAAGTTTGATATAAATGAAGAAGGGGATGGATGGTTGCAAACAGTTTACAAATGTCGAGAACATTAGGGGACATGTTATTTGAAGGACACTTTTTTTGCTGGAATAAGATCGAGCCAAAGGAGTAAAAGTATTAATTCTTATTTTGATGGGTATGTTAACTCACAGACTCAATTACAAGAGTTTGATACAATATGAAAAAGCAGTAACTCATCGTCACTTAAGTGAAGCCCATGAAGATTTTACGAGTCTTAACACAAAGCCTGTCATGTTCTTTGGACATCCAATTAAGGTCCAAGTTGGAGAAATGTATACACGCAATATGTTTGTTGTGTTCCAAACTGAATTCAAAGGATTTGGTACAGAGTTTTGCGAAAAATTAAAAAAAATGGGGACATTGTTGAATACAAGATCTGTAAGTTTACAGATAGAGAAAAATAGGAGGTGGTTACTGATGAACAGTCCAGTCTTTTGCAGTTCATTTGCACTTGTGCTTTGTTTGAAACCAATGGTATTGTATGTAGACATATATTGTCGCTAATGATGGTTAGACAAATGGATTCATTATTCCTCAGATTGAAAAAGATGATGTGCTAACAAATTTCATAGAGTCAATTGAAAAAGAAGTTAAAGAAACTCAAGTTCAAATGGCGGATATTCCTCAGATTATCGCACTCATTTCACATACAATGGAGCACATTCCTTCGATTACAGTTCGTGATCCTAATGGATCTGCAAAGACTAAAGGTCGTCCACGCAATGCTACTAGAATCCAGTCAGGTTTAGAACAAGCACAAGAAAAGAAAGAAAAAAAAACGTATATGTAGCAGATGTGGTGAACTTGGGCATTATAGAACTAGCTGTAAAGTCAACTTGCCTTTGTATAATTAATATTTTTTTTCATATGT